GTCGGACTAACGCTGACCACAGCTATGAAACCTCCATAGCCCACACATTTAGACCACAGCCCAGGGGAAAGTGCAGTAATGATCAGTATGTGTAGAAAATAAACATCCCATGAGACACAGGTACTGTGGAATGCCTAAGGAATAATCCTGTCAAAAATCAATGGCCAGCTTTACAAAGGAAACCAGAGGATCACATTATTTGCTAGCAGTCCATATTAACTCCGTCTTTCTGACATACATAGAAGCTTCTTCTGAATGAACTTTTGTACAGTCTAATCCAACCACAGAAAGCTAATAAGTAAGTAAAACACAAAATATAGTTTCTAAAACAAAAGAGACAACATCCAGTGAAGACTCACAGAAATAAGCTAAGAAAAGACGTAGGAGTTTGACAATGTAACCAACAACTTACAGTTTATCAGTTAAGATAAAAACTCAAAGAGCTAGACGTATAAGAGAACGTACTGGTTGATTCCATTTTTATGAATTTTGAGAAAAATAACAATTAATTTATGATGAGAGAAGTCAGAATAATGATTACCTCAGAAGAGGGGATCATTGACTGGGAAGAAGCATGAGGGAACCCTGTTCATCATCTACATCTGGGTGGTGGTTATATGGATGTAGACATATGTAAAAATTTATAAGCTGTGCACCTAAGTGTACTTAATATACTTTATTATATGTATACCTCAATTTAAAATAAGATAAAGAACTTGAAACTGAAAATCCTCCCTCCAGATAAATACTTTGCAAGGATACCGTCTTTTCAATAGAGATATAGATACAAATAAATCCATTCAAATCTAAATTTTAAAAATCATAAGAACTCAGCACAAGCTGTTCTCTCTGCCAAATAGTGGTGAAGGTGTTGTCACATTTCATCTCATTCAAAACAGATGGAGATGACAAACAGAAGTATTTTAGGAGAAAGAGTGACAATGAAATCTTGGCAGTGGAATTCTTATCTTTTGTTCATTAAGCAGAATCACACTTTGGTGAACTGGACTATTGTCTGGCAAAAATTCACTCCCTCTCCTGGACCTCCAAGGGAGCATATTCTTCCACTCTGCTGAGGTTGGGCCTGGCCATGAGACTTGTGTGGCCAACTGGCTCTTAAGATGTGTGACATAACAGAGCCTTGACATGAGCCTGTGCATTTGGACTTGTGCTACCGACTTTTGTCAGCAGAGGATGAGAGATACATGCACCAGATGTGGACCTAACCTGCAGCTTCTCACCCGAATCAGCACAGTACAGTTCAGCAGAATCCTAGACAATCTGTACAGGGGTGCATGAGAAATTAATGTTTGTTGAAACAGATGAAATTCAATGAAATTCTGGGCATTGTAATAGATACTGCATTTTCCCTTTTGAGAATTAAGAGCTTATTCACCCAATGCTTAAAAGTGCTGTGAGCAAACAGCCTACAGCGCTGCTCCTCTTTGGAATGATCTCAAATTAAGAAAGGTTCATCGCCCAAGGTCATGCCCTCTTCCTGGGGCAGCCAGCATCCAATGATGCAGGAGTGTAAAGGGTGAGGCCTTCATTCACACTGTATCAGAGCCTACCTTCTCCCTCTGTTCAATCCTGCCTCCTTCCCTTCTCTTCCACAGGTGTTGATCCCAAGAGTACTCCCTAATAAACTTCCAGCATGCAAATCTCATCTCAGAATCTGTTTTCCAGGAACCCAATCTGTAACATGTGACGTTATTTTGGCAATGGCTAACTGATACCCATATATATGCAATACTATTGATTTGCTCAGTTAAGAGTTTTACAAAAATTTTACATGTATAACTCCAGCACAAATTATAGCATTCAGACCATCAAATCTATTTTAAAATTAATGAGCATATGGTTTTTTCCAAGTAGAAATATAAACTCTCATGAGTAAATCTCAAACCACGATCAAGGCAAAAATTTTTATATAGAGAAGTATGCCATCCAGTCAATTTTTGCTTCAATGCACAGTACTCAAAGCAAAATCCCTCACTCATAATCAGATTTGTTAAGACTTGGTTGTCATTCACTAAAATCAATCTATAAGACACCCAAGAGCTATGTTCTTATGTGTACTCATACCTTTTGATTATTATCACGAGAAAGCTCCAGGGGCAGCAGGCCATAGTAGCCCCATGGCCCTAATGTCACTTCCAAACCTACCCTGAGCATAACTGTGGGTTCTTCCCCCCAGCTCTGATTCCAGACACAAACCAGGCAAATATGAAATACAGCTATGTGGAGACACTGGAGAACAAGCAATGCAGGCAAGAAGGAGAGGCTATAAGATAGTTCAGGAAGTGGAAGTATGAGAGATGAGCTTCCACACTGACCCAAACTTTAACTTTGAGGTATTTTCTAAACTGCTACAAGAGAGAACAGACCAAACAGAAAGTTAGCTGTGACTAGGCTGAGGTGAAAGTGGGCAAGACCTAGGGAGCACAGTCCTCAGGAGGATTATATTCCAGGCCCTAAAGGAAATCACGATATGTTAAAATAATTGGTATCATACATGTTCTCTGATCACAACCCCCAAAGCAATTAAGATAGATTTATTTATTTAGACAGAACCACATTTCCTTGGAAATTAACTCTCAATCAAATGCAAAGTTATAAAGTAAATTAGGAAATACTTGGAACCAAGTGATACAGAAAGTACTACATATAAAAATATGAGATACAGAGGGACATTTATAATCTTAATTACTAATAACAGAGAAGTAGATAAATGAAATTAATGGGCTAAAATTTGGTCTGTAAAGCTGGTATAGTTAATATCAGGGTAAAGGCAAAGAAAAGTAGAAGGAAGAAAATAATAAAGAGCAAAAATAAATTAAACAGACGTACAATAAAGATCAGCTAAACTAAAATTTCATTCTTTTAGACAATAAAAGAGAAATTTCTGGCAAAACTATCAAGGAAAAAAATGGGAAATGACACATAAACAATAACAGGAATAAAAAGCTATTTATAACTACAGGCATCAAAAAATTTCCTAATTAAGAAATATTATCAGGGAATTCCCTGGTGGTCCAGTGGTCAGGACTCTGCACTTTCACTGCTGGAGCCCAGGCTCGATCCCTGGTCAGGGAACTAAGATCCCACAAGCTGCACCATGTGGCCAAAAAAAAAAAAAAAAAAAAAAAAAAAAAAAAAAAAAAAAAATTATGAAAAATTGGAAAACCTAAGGAAAAATGGAAAATCTCCTGATGTAACTGACCAAAAGGGACTTTAATAGAATAAAAATTTACTCTAATTATTAATCAAATTATAACCACAACCCAAATGGAGGGACATGGTACAAAATAAATGGCCTGTGCTCTTCAAAATGCCACAAAAGAGAGAAAGAATGGTCACAAAAGAGAGAAAGAATGAAGAACCGTTCAGGATTGAAGGAAATTAAAGAGATATTATGACAAGTAAATGCAGTAAGTGATTCTCAAGTAGATCCTGGATGAGAAAAAAAAATTTTTTTCTCTTATTATAAAGTATGTTACTGAGACAACTACGAATCTGACTAAAGCCAGATTTATAGTACTATAAATTGTTAGTGATATTAAATCGTTATAGTACTATTGATATAGTACTATAACAATGCTCATTTCCTGAATCTGCAAATTGTATTGTGGTTCAGTGAGAAAATATCCTTGTTCTTTTAGGAAATACCTCCTCAAATAATACTTGGCAATAAAGGGACATCCATTCTGTAACTTACTCTCAAACTGTTCAGAAATAATAATAATATGTATACAGAGAAAGAATGATAAAGGAAACGTGGTAGATGTAAACATTTGGGGAATCTGGGTGAAGGGAATACAGGAAGTTTTAGTACTATTTTTGTATTATCTCAAAATACAAAAATAACAAGTTTTAAGAAATTATAACAATAAGCCTTCATTAACTCACACTTGTAAAATCCAAATCTCTTCACCCTAGACAAAGAAGTTAAAACAATTTCCATTGTATTTCTCCATAGTTCAATTCTACGGTGATTTTCTAATGCTTCTTATATTAGTTGTCAAATGCATGGGAGAAAAGTAAAGTAAAAGGCGACATACACCCAAAACAAAAAATAAAACAAAAACAAATTTAAGCTTAAATTTAAAAGAAAGAGATGGATAAACAGAACTTAACACAAGCAAACAATTCCCCCTAAGACAGTCTGCAGTGTCTCTAAGCCCATTTAATATCATTTAAAAATTCTTACCTGCAATACATCATCAGACAAAAAGGAAATGTGCCTAATGTAGAATATTATTGCCTTAATGATGTATTTAGAAGGAAGGAAAATTTCACGTTTCATATTTTTTACTGCAGTGGTAGTCCATTAGTTCAAATTCTAATTTTACAATCTTGGAAACATGGATAGTACTCATGAGTTTTAGCAAACTGAGTTTTAAAAATTATATGAATTCTCATTTAATCAATTTTATATTCATTTTGAAGACGAGATTTTTTAATGTAAGTTGATGCCTAAAATGTTAATCAAAAGATTCATATATTCTGCTGAGTACAATTTCTATAAACGATGTAATGACTATGATTTCCAAACTGTTCTCAATTCCTCAAAGCCCTAAATGAAGTGTGTGATTTGAACAGGAATCACAAAGAGATTGTGAAGTGCATGGTCAACAGCTGGCACTTTTACAAAGAGTATCTGAAGAATAAAACTATTGTTGGTTAAATCAACTTTCTCTTATCAGAAAAATAAGTTAATTATCTTTTCTAAGTTCTTCTTGATGGGAAAATTTTTATTGTAAAAAGTATAGCTTGTTTTAAGCAGAAGATTTTAAGCTGTATAGTGATTTCCTTGTAACAATTATATTAATATGTATGGTTAATTATAGCCTAATGACCATATTCAAACTTGATAACCTACTACAATGATAATAAATATGGCATGAAAAAAACACTTTCAGACAATCGATAATGCTACAAAATCAGGAGAAAGTAAATGAGACTAGACAAAGATGGGGGGAGGGGAATGCATCATTGTTATCAGATCAACAATAACAACTAATATTTACTGAGCTCTTACATTGTGCCAGATACTGTTCCAAATGATCTACAAGTATTATCTTGTTTAATCCTCAAGTTGGTATCAAAAGGTAAGTCAGAGACAGACTTTTCCAAAGGCTAGAGGAGGACACTGAGGCACCACCTACTTTCTCTCCTAGTGCCTCAAGAGCCAGAAGAGCCCAGTGTTTGTAAACATTACCTTAAATGAAGATGCATAAACTGCTGAACGTAATTTCTTCTAGAATATTGATGGAAGCTCAAAAAGACTTGTGACATAGCAATAAATCAGTTGTCTTCCACCCAACCTGGACAGCCAATGGCACAGGGAGCTCTACGCCGCTCCAGAGAACGCAGGGTCCCAGGCCCAAGGCATGCTCTGGTGAGCCAATGCAGTTCTATCAAGTTCTATATGCTTGGATACATATATCAGCAACTTATAGGGGTATGTCTGCATACCCTCTTCTTGTCAATCCATATAACCTCAGGGCAAATAGATTTTATTTCCACTGCAGATGAGGAAACTCAGACACAGGGAGGTTAAGTAACTTGCATAAGGCTATATGGATCAAAAGCTATAGCTCTAAGGGGAAAAACAGAATCATAAAAGTAAATCCATTGGTACAACAAGGTCCATAGCAGCATTATTCACAATAGCCAAAAGGTAGAAGCAACCCAAGTTTCTATTGACAGACGAATGGATAAACAAAATGTAATACACACACACAATGGATTATTATTCAACCTTAAAAAGAAAGGAAATGCCGACATAGGCTACAACATGGATGGCCTCTGAAGATGTTATGCTAAGTGAAATAAGCAAGCCACAAAGGGGCAAATATTTTATGGTTCCACTTATATGAGGTAACTAGAGTAGTCAAATTCAGAGAGATGTAAAGTAGAATGGTGACTGCTGAGGCCTGGGGACTGTTTTAAGGATCTGGGGTTTTGCCCTAAGTGCAACTGAAAGCCACTAAGAGGATATAAGATAGGGGACAGCAAAATCAGAACTGCATTTTTAAAAGACCAGATATAATATAGAATTAGAGATGTTCCTGCATGCAATTTCCTCCCTACTAAATCAACATAGCCTGACCTTTCTTAGAACCAGAATTTAGCATCAGGAAACCTAAGTTTCTAGTCTTATATAAGTTACTTAACCATTATCTCTAATATAGTCTACCCCAGGAGATTTCTAAGGCCCCCAAAAACTCAAAAAGCTTTTATCTAGAATCCTACCCTCCAACCTGCTTTAGTCCTCAGAGTCCAGACAAAAGAGAAATCCAGTATCTCTGCAATTACCTATTCTCCGAGAGAGAGGCTTTGTTCCAGCAATAGCTCCCTAACAGTGCACATGGCACTTGGCCCTTCCAACCATGAACAGAAAGTAACAGGCTAGAAAGTCCAAGAACTACTACTTAAGTAACTACTTCAGGGTTACTCTGCTCTAAGTAATTTTGTATCCACAATGCAGGGGGACAGGGGAGTGAATGTAAGGATTACTGCACACTAAGTTTTTTTTCTTTGCAAATTGCACTAAGTATACTTCCCATTTTACTGAAACAAAGGTGAAATCTATGAAGCCTCCATGGCTTTAATGTTTCAACCATTATAAATCTCATTATATGTCTTAGACTAGCCGTGTTTGAAATTCACAGCCTAGCTACCTGAAAATGAGGAAGTTATATCCAACAATCCTGCAGGCAGCTTAATTACCTGCTCCCAAAATATAACTGGTGATTTGATAAGTGGCATATATTGTCTTGGATAAACAGATACGTCAGATAGGAATGCTGAAAGCCGACTGCGGTCCTCACAGGACAAGACACAGAGAAAATCACCTGTACAAGCTACCCAGGTCCCAGCAGTTCCACAACACTGCCCTCTCCATGGTCTCCAGATCCATGGTCTGGTCACCTGATAGAGAAAGGTACTAACCTGACCTGTGCAGGCATGTGAATACTGAAAGAAAAATAAGAGCCCAATTCTTCAAATTCAACTAAACAATGAATCCATTTTCATTTAATGGCACAAAACAACTTAGCAGCCTTTCATATGTTCTTCTTGGAAAACAATCTGCAAAACTCATCAACATATTACTAATTTTTAACCACTTCCATTCATTTTTACAGAAATGCCTCAATATCTTATATTTTAACATCAAAGTAGAAAGCATGATATCACCAGTCAAACAGGATTAAAGGTGTAGGTCATGGCATCTGAAATAACAAGAGACAATGACTTCCTTCCTGCTTTTGACTTCTAAAAGATGTCAATTTTATGCAACTGAAAATAATATAATCTCAACACAATAACATACAGAAAGAGTCCAAGTGAAGTTGAACCTAGAAATAGTTACAGCAGGAAACCAAGACCCATAAATAGTGACTCTCCTGGTGGCACAGTGGATAAGATTCCACACTCCCAATGCAGGGGGCCTGGATTCAATCCCTGGTCAGGGAACTAGATCCCACATGCATGCTGCAACTAAGAGTTCACATACCACAACTGAGGAGCCCATCTGCCACAACTAAGAACTGGTGCAACCAGATAAATAATATTAAAAAAAAAAAAGACACATAAATGTTGCAGACAAAAGAAGAAATCTTGTGGACTTCCCCAGCAGTCCAATGGTTAAAAATCCACACTTCCACTGCAGGGGGTATGGGTTCGATCCCTGGTCGGGGAACTAAGATCCTGCATGCCGTGTGGCGTGGCCAAAATAAAATAAAATAAAATGAATTTTTTAAAAAGAATAAGGGGATTAGGAACCAAGACAGCAGAGTAGAAGGACGAGCTCTCACTCCCTCTTGCGAGAACACCAGAATCACAACTAGCTGCTGGACAATCATCGACAGGAAGACACTGGAACTCACCAAAAAAGATACCCCACATCCAAAGACAAAGGAGAAGCCACAATAAGATTGCAGGAGGGGTGCAATCACAGTAAAATCAAATCCCATAACTGCTGGGTGGGTGACTCACAGAAACACTTATACTACATAACTCCACCCACTGGAATGAAGGTCCTGAGCCCCACATCAGGCTTCCCAACCTAGGGGTCCAGCAACGGGAGG